AAACAGCATCATGAAGTCCAAAGAACACACCAGACAGGTTAGGAATATGGTTTTGGAGAAGTTTAAAGCAGGCTTAGGTTATAAAAAGATTTCCCAAGCTTTGAACATCTCACGGAGCACTGTTCAATCCATCATCCGGAAATGGAAAGAGTATGGCACCACAGTAAACCTGCCAAGACAAGGCCGTCCACCTAAACTTACAGGCCGAACAAGGAGATCACTGATCAGAGAGGCAGCCAAGAGGCCCATGGTGACTCTGGATGAAATGCAGAGAGCCACAGCTCAGGTGGGGGAAACTGTCCACAGGACAACAATTAGTCGTGCACTACACAAATGTGGTCTTTATGGAAGAGTGGCAAGGAGAAAGCCATTGTTAAAAGAAAACCATAAGAAGTCCCGTTTGCAGTTTGCCAGAAGCCATGTTGAGGACACAGCAAACATGTGGAAGAAGGTGCTTTGGTCAGACGAGACCAAAATTGAACTTTTTGGCCACAATGCAAAACGCTATGTGTGGCGGAGAAAGAACACTGCACATCACTCTGAAAACACCATCCCCACTGTCAAATATGGTGGTGGCAGCATCATGCTCTGGGGGTGCTTCTCTTCAGCAGGGACCGGGAAGTTGGTCAAAGTTGATGGGAAGATGGATGGAGCCAAATACAGGGCAATCTTGGAAGAAAACCTGTTGGAGTCAGCAAAAGATTTGAGACTGGGGCGGAGGTTCACCTTCCAGCAGGACAACGACCCTAAACATAAAGCCAAAGCTACAATGGAGTGGTTTAAAAAAAAGAATATTCATGTGTTAGAATGGCCCAGTCAAAGTCCAGACCTAAACCCAATTGAGAATTTGTGGCAAGATCTCAAAACTGCTGTTCACAAACGCTCTCCATCCAATCTGACTGAGCTTGAGCTGTTTTGCAAGGAGGAATGGGCAAGAATTGCAGTCACTAGATGTGCAAAGCTGGTGGAGACATACCCTAAAAGACTTGCAGCTGTAATTGCAGCAAAAGGTGGCTCCACAAAGTATTGACTCAGGGGGGCTGAATAATTTTGCACATCGCACTTTTCAGTTTTTTATTTGTAAAAAATGTTTTGATTCATGTAAAATTTTGCTTCCACTTCACAATTGTATACCACTTTGTGTTGGTCTTTCACATTAAATTCCAGTGAAATATATTTATGTTTGTGGTTGTAATGTGACAAAATATGGAAAAGTTCAAGGGGTATGAATACTTTTGCAAACCACTGTACCATTTGTTCAAAATGACAGGTTTAATTTGGGCTCTAGAATTAATGTTGGGTAAGTTTTAGGTGTCACATTTGCACCAGCAGAGGTTGAGATTTCTTAATGTTTCATTTGGCACATGTCAAATAAAAACAATGCTTGTTTGTTTTATGTTTCTTTTAATGCAAACGGCTGGATTGATTTCAACAGACGCTCTACATCTGGTTTCATATACCTTTATGTTTTCAACCTCAAGCTGATAACAGTCATTCATCTAATGATATCATAATGGGTACTTTTTCATTTAAAGCACATCTTTTTTTTATTTATGTGCCCCTCGAGCATTATCTTTTAGCCCATCAAAAATCCACCACGAGAAAGTGAATTTAGATCATTAGCTTGACTGTGAGCAAATATTCATACTGCTTTAAGCTTTGTCCTTGTTGTCTCTGTCTCTGTCCTCAGTTTGGCAATGAATGCAAATAGCTTAGTATTTTTACATTTGATGACGTAGGAGTTAGACAAAGGAGATCTTGTTTTTCTTTTAACAAAGGAATAGCACCATTTTGCAAATTTGTCACGAGGAGACCATCACCGACTCCGACAAACAGTGCGAGAACATGTCTAGATGCTGTCCAGACAAACTATATACAAAACCTACACCTGTTCCCCTATGTTTTCGTTGTGTGTGTCTTCTTGAATGAGTGTTCTTAAATGTAATTTCATTGTGCTTCATACAATGACAATAATGGCATCTTCATCATCATCATCAAGCATTCACAAAAAATGTGCAATCTTATTTCATGAGCGCTTTGACTACATTTCTAAATTGTATTTGAACATATATATGACCTTTGCTGAAACGGTTGTAAAGATGCTAACAGTCTTTGCCAGCTGCACCCTAATGAAGCAATTGATGCAAAATGAGAGAACTGCAGTTCAGCTGTTTTTCAGCCTAAATACGGTACACTCACAAAGATTGTATCAATCACACAATACTTGGCACATATCAGGCAAGAAAAAAGTCTAAAGTTCTAAGTAGAGCTTCTAAACTGAAATAGGCTGTTCATCAGCTGATCAAATGTTTAAGACTGTATCTATAAATAAATAAGCAAACCCTAAAATAGAAATAAATTTTGAAAGAAAGGACTCAGTAATGAGTAGCTGTGCCATTCTTGTCAGTCCCCTCAAAATTCTGTTTTGGCATGCTTGATGCTGGTGTTTCCAGGAGGACACACCAGTACCACTGTTGAAAAACCCAGTCATTACCACACAGTCGGTGGCCTTCAGTCATGAGGGAGACCTCCTGCAACATCTCCACATAGCCAGCTGCCGTTTCTGAACAACCTGAAGCTCCATAGTTCCAATGAATGAAAAAGACCCCCAGATCATGATGGTGCCCCCTCCATTGTGCCGTGTAGAAAACATCTCAGGTGGGTTCTCCTTGTCATGCCAGCTTCTGGAAGACATTAGGACCATCAAGGTTCAAGTTGTTCTCATCAGCGAATCAAACTTTCTTCCATCTTCAAATGTCCCATGTTTGGTGCTCTCATGCAAACTCCAAAGAGACAATTTTATACATTTGAAGGAGACGAGGCTTTTAAAGACATTGTTTGTTTTTAAAACCCTTATTTCGCTGAATCCATCTGATGGTGGGACTGCAGATGATGAGCCTAATTTGAGCCGAGGGTCATCCCGTGTCTTGACGAACAGCTATTTGACTCCTCCTTCCCAGGGATGGTGAAATCTTCCTTGGGTGTACCTCTTCACTTTTTTGTTCCATAACCCATAAGTTTAAAATGACTGTCTTACTGCGTCTAACCTCAGCAGGAATGGCAGGCACACTGTAAGAGGCCTTGCTTATGCAGCTCAACAATCTGACCGCATTCAAAAAGGGAAAGCTTTTTTTGTCTTTGCCATCAGAAGGTCATGATACTTTGGATACCTGACAGAAAACAGCACTGAATCCACATTTTTGTGAAGATTTGGTTTTTTTTTACAAATTTTTGTTTTAACCCATGCGAACAACTATTTGTAAACATTTTTACTTGTTGAAACTTATGTTTCACACACTGCTTTAATCTAACATTGGAGTTGATTTGCTAACCTGTGGGGAATAAAGACAGCCCATCAGGTACCTCTGTGACATCACGTTGCAGTGAAACCTCCTCAGCGTGTCACAGAGTTCTGCAGAAGTCTGCTGACACATTATTGAAATTGGGTGTGTTGAAGCAGGAAAGCATTTAAAATAAGGAGAATAATGGCACCTGAAAACAAATGTTTAACACTTGTATAAACAAAACATCCTCGTAATTCTTTGTCAAACTTTCTATAGCAAAATAAGTCAAAGCTATATTAAAATTAATGCGACCAAATATGTTTGTTTCAGCGTCTAAATGTTGTAATAATGAAGTATCGAGAATTGTATGATTAAATTTTTAAAGAAATCCTAAGCATAGTTTTATTTTTTGCCTTTTAAAAAAATATTTCCTCTCAAAAAAAAAGAGCTGGTTTTAGTCATGAGTAAACAGACTGTAATAAAACCAGTCGTTTCTTGGCAGAACAAAAGTGAAAATCCATCCTCGGTGAAGCAGAATTATTGCTTTCACCTACATAATAATACTTCCAAGATGTTTTTAAACACATTGACATTCATCAGTATATTGTTTTACATGTTTATGACTCTTTAAGCTGCTCCTATAGATTGAAATTTAAAGTCATATCTGTAGGGTAACCTGGACTGTGTGAGTGAGCATGATGAACAGCATGCAGGTTAAACGGCGTGCAGAGTAAGAGTGCAGTGAAGGCTCTGTCCGCCGGCAGGGATTGGTTAGCTCTTATCTCGATAGGATGCTTTGACAGGTACTGCATCACATTAAAGGCCTTACCAATCTTCCCTGTCACTTGCAGCAGGAGGCGCACAGATAGGGCAGCCCACCATCTCCCCTGACTCCCACTTTACTTCTTCTTCTCCTCACCCACGTTGAGACACAACATATTGAATTTTTCTCATTTTACAAAGACGGTGTGTGAGCAAGATTGTTTACTTTGTCAAAGAAGTTAACAAAAGTGGATAGGAACAAGTTACCTTTACTCTGCTTCACACACCCAAGTACGACTTCTGTTCAAAATTTGGGACATTGTGTAAATCGTCTATAATAACAGAATGCATTGATTTGCAAATGTTAGAAACCCATATTTTATTTACGATACAGTACAATTGTTGAATGTTTAAATAAGAAATTTTACAAATTTTGGAAAAGGATGTAATTTTGAATTTGATAGCAACAACATCTGTTTCTCAAAAAGTTGAGATAGGGCCAAGTTCTCCACTGTGAAGCATCATCTATTCTTTTAACAAAGTATAAATGGAATGGAACAAGAACTGAGGAGACCAGTTACTGAAGTTTTTGTAGAGAAATGTCCCGTTCTGGTCTGATGTAGTATTCTAGTTTTTCAACTGTCCTATTTTTTGCTGGACTTTTAGATTGGTGATATCTCACTCATACTCCAATAACCATTTTGGGGGCAGTATCTGTGTGGTACATGGCCATTTCCATCAATGATTTATGAATGGCCATGTAAATTCTTTAAATGCTTTCATAGGCAATGCTCATTATGATACTTTCCCTACATAATAACATGTCAGTTTCTTTGTCTTTTCATGTATAAAGTCTCCTCACAAGTCTGTTTTTAGGAACATTTTCACAGGATCAGGTAGCTTTTGTACCTGGATAAGTGGTTTACCTTTTAACTTTTGTTGTTTGATGGACAGGTGGAGTCCACCCAGAGTATGATCAGGATTCTGGGACTATCCGCCACCCTGCCCAACTATCTAGATGTGGCCTCCTTCCTGCATGTCAACCCTTACATCGGCTTGTTTTTCTTTGATGGCCGTTTCAGACCCGTTCCCCTCGGACAAACCTTTGTTGGCATTAAAACCATCAACAAGGTAAAGAAGCAGCCTTGAACTAATTGTTTGCAAATAATCAGGGCTGGTAATGTGTATGTTCACCAGTAGTTTTTGTTATTCTATTTCTTTAAAATCCTGTGGTTTTGTGTCCTGTTCAGATCCAGCAGATTCATGACACAGAAGAAGTTTGTTACAACAAAGTTTTGGAGCAGGTGAAAGCAGGTCATCAGGTCAGTGCTTTTGTCTTTTAACTTAAAATCCATCAGTGTGTGCAGGGTAAACAATTACAAAGATTTGTGTACAGTGTTTGAGTCCTCATGATTCTCCACTACCACAGCCTCCTTGCTTAAAGAAAACTAAGCTTGTTGTTGTTGTTTTCCTTGTTAGGAAACATAAACAAGTCCCATGATTATAGATGTGATTGAGCCACTTTTTATGTGAATACTTCAAAAAACTACAGTGCCTATTCTAAAAATAAAGTAACAGACAGTTCTGTTGGCAGCTCTGCATTTCAAACAGCCATCCTGATCTTTTAATCAGTTTCATGTTGTAGCAGAAACAAGCTTGTCATTTTTCTTGCTGATAAACATGGAATTGAATACAACACAGTGGCACAGACAAAAATGTATAATCAGGAACTGAGTTCAGGTGTCTGATGCAGTCATTTGGGTTGTTACACATAACACTTCAAATTTTAAGGCCCCCTTTTTAGGGGCCTTAAAACCTTTGCTTGGAAGATGGTCATGATGGTACTTCACTCAGTGCTCACCAAATGCAATCTATTTGGTAACCATTCCTTTTACAGTCCCCTAATTACCTTTCAATTACCTAGTATTTACATGCTAAATAATAACATTTTACTATGCAATTACTTGGTAAGAACATATGTTTCTATTTGTTTGTATTCTTTTGGTTAATAATGTATAATTGATTTGATTGTACCCAATAAAAGTAGTTTTACTAACACAGTAGTTTACTGGTAATGGCATGGTAATTAGGGACTATATATATAAAGTATTGAACACGTCACCATTTTTCTCAGTAAATATATTACTAGAGGTGATAATTACCTAGTATTTACATGCTAAATTAAAACAT